GTCAAAAGTTTGAGACAGAGACCGTAAAGCATGAAGGCTATCGTTTTGACTACCCATTAAGATGGCTAAGAGACCCATCTGTCACAAAAGCTATTGGCTTTCGTAGAATGAAGTTTGTGTCTGTAGAAGATAAAAGTTTTCCATTTATTGTAAGGTTTCATATAGATTATATATCTGAAGGGAAACGAAAAATGTGGGAAGAAATTGAGCTAATACAAGTTGACCTTTCATCTTCTCTACAGACTGCGTTAAAAAATATTAGAAGATAAAATAAATTCATGTTATGCAAAATATGCTGATGAATATGCAAATACCGAGAGCACACTTTATGTGAGAATTGTATATGACAAACAAAATTCACAAGTGTCATTTCAAATCTACGAAGACAATCCAAAGAAAGACGAACAAATATATACAGAATTCACTGCAATGTCATGGTATTATTTGCAAAGAATGTTAAATCAGAAAGTCGAACTTCCTTTAGCAAATATTTACAGTCGATATGCAAGAGATGAACCATATTTATTTAAAGATGTTTTCGACCCAGCTGCTATTATTGTTCATGCTTCATTTTCTGGCGCCCAAAACTCTTTCTTATGCTTGGCAAATGACTTTTACGAAAAACCTACAAAGTTATACGAACCACCAAGTGGAAGTATTTCAGACTTTCAAGTATGGTTTACTACAGATGGAAGAAAAAGAATAATTCCATTATACCATGCGTTTTACTTAGAACTTAGTTTCATATACAACTACTATCGAACGGAAAAATATAATTTTAATACGGTTGAGGTGTTGGATTTGGTTGCCAACTAGACTGTGGTGCAGGTTCAGGCTGTTGTATAACAGGAGCTTGTTCTTCTGGTTCAGGGTCTTTAGGTATAATACCAACAAACTGACCTACCCTTTTACCAATATTTTTGACTCCGTTCCAAATTCCTCTTCCTACGGTTTTTATTCCATTCCATATACCTCTTCCAACATTTCGAAAGAAGTTTCCTATCTTACTGAAGAAACCCATTTTACTATATGTAAAAATCTAATGTCCGCCTAGTCTCTTACGTTTCCTGTTGAGTTCCATAGCATTCTTTAACTGGAGCTCATACATTCTATTTCTCCTCTGGTAGAAAACATACTCTGGGTCAACTCCTGTGTTCGCGTCATCTGCATAAGTTGTTTATATCCCACTTCAGGGTTTGTATAAAACTCTTTCCATCTCATATTTGCATACCATGGTGGCAAACCTAACGCAGCGTCATTTGACATGGCAGTTTTGCATTTGTACATCTGTTGGCACTTGACCATAGTTTGCCATTGCAGTTTGTATTCTAACTTCATTTGGAATATTCTCTGGGTTTGGTTGTCCAGGTTGCTGTGCATTCGCTAAGTTCTGTGCGTCCATTTAATATTAGATAAAAATATCTCTTACGAGTACATATGCTGAACATTTGCAGGCATTGGTTCATCTTCATATTCTCTGTACTTTCTGCCACGTCAAATAAATAAATGACACAATGGAAAAAACCTAAACAAAAGTAGTCCTATTTCAAACCACATTTACTTACCAATAAAATTTCTTTGTTATGACACTTTCTCCGTTAGTATAGGACCTCTCTCATATTCTATCTTATCGTATCTAAACTCATAGTCATGTATGTCCTCTAACCATCTCATGACACTTTCCAAACCACTTTTATCGGATGTAAAGTAAAAGCATGGATGGTTATGTAAAACGTCTAAAGTTTCTAAAGAGTCTCTCAAAGTCCAGTCTACTTGGTATTGAAAATCCCATGTGTTATAGAACGGCGGGTCCACTATAAAGAAAACATTTTCCTTGTCTTTATATTTTTCATACAAATCTGTCCAATGACATCTCACAAACTCTATACCCTCAATATATTTTTCTATGTCCTCTTTGAAAACATTTGTATAGTTAAGATATAAAACTTTTGACATAAGTGTTTCAATGTCATGAACTCTTATAGCACCACTATATAATAGTCTAGAAGATATACTATCCCAGTCAATATACTCTGCTTTTTCAAAACCTCTCTGACAGTATTTTTTTTATCTAATGGTATACGTTCCATCTTACCTATAGGTATCTTTTCTTTCAACTCTTTCAATATATTGTTTGTGTCTGGAATATGTTTGAGACGGTCCATATAGTTGTCGAAGTCATTGCATATAATCTTTGAGTCTGGGAATATTGTATGGCACAAATGGGATATATAGAAACTTCCACCGAACAAATCTACAAATGTTAGACCATTCGGTAGTTTCTTAAGTTCTCTCAATATAATATCTTTACATTTACTCTTATTTCCAAAGAACGGTAACGGAGGTTTTGTAAAATTCATTTATATATAATAATAAAAATGTTTTTACCCGAAAAGTGACAGAAAAGTGACAAAACATGAAAACATATATAATTTGTGAAAAGCGACACATTATATAATGTTTTCGACCCAGAAGAAGGCTTTTCCCAGAAGCAATGGAGGAAGAAGAAGAGTCCTCCGAATTCACACCAGAAGACTAACAATTTTCCGAATAAAAACTTCATTTATACTAAACATCTTCGGGGCTAGAGGGCACGAAGTGCCTGGAAGCCCCACTACCTTTTTTTTTTTTTTTTTTTTTTTTTTTTTTTCTTTGGGTACAAGTAAAAGACTTTTAGCTTCAAAAATTGATGTGGAATTCAGAAAGAAACAGTTCAGCTCATTTTTTGGCATTTCATCGGAGACTTGATGCAATGAGATATGCTCATTATCCTTTAGGTTTAGATTCTGCTCTTTTTTATAATAGAATATTTAATATATTTGTTTTGCTTTTAATAATGCGTGATCTGAATTGATTATCAAGTATTTTAGATTCTAATTATATTATGGCTATTCTGCATTGGATATTTTTGTGGTTATTTTATATTAGATCTATTCATTTTTCGATTTCAAAAAGGGTAATGAAATTTTTCTCAAATGCAAGTTCATATCAACTGTAATTATAAAATGTATATGATTTACCATCATGATAATATTCTCTTAATTTCATTGAAATTTAATTGCTTAAATTATAAAAATTGAAATAAATTATCATATGTGTACCTGGGTGAAATAATCTGGCATATACAATTTTCATTGTTTTGAATATCGACAATAAGGCAACTACAGTATGTCACTTTTTAAAATGATTTTCTTACTGTTTATTTCTGCATTTAGCGAAAAAGGAATATTTGAAAAAGTGTATAACGATAAAATAATTTTAATAGATGTCAGTGGTTCTTCTAAGCAAGACATTAATGGTTCAATGCAAATGACTAAACCAGAATACGCGATTTATCCCTGGAACAAGCGATACGACTGGTGTTCTAATTGTATGCGCAGCTATGATGAACATCCATATATTCGTTTTTCATTGAAAAACAAGAAATTTAATTTCAATAGTTACTTCGTTCGTTGCGGCTGCTGTTACGAATCATGCTGTTGTGAGGATGACTATTTTGGATGCTTCCATTGTTGTCTATATTCATGGTCATTGCGAATATCAGATGATAATAAAACGTGGACAGAAGTTCATCGAATGAAAGACGAAGATATGCGTCGGTGCAACGAGAAGACATACAAACTCGATAAAACGTACAGTGCTAAATATGTTGAAGTCATCCAGAACGAAGCATGTCCGGGTGATCCTCCATGCATTGCTCTTAACCGATTTGAACTTTATGGCGATGTCATTGATGACAACGGTGTTTCCGATGATTTTGTTTCATACCACGACGATGACGACGATGTCAGTATCATTGGACATATCTCCAAAAACGGCAATGTCAAAATAGAATAAAAATTTCTAATAATATTTGAAAAATAGTCGTTTTTTAAGATTTCGTATTTATTCTACCAACTAATAATGCATATGATATTCTCTTTATTTTTATATCTTTTTAAATATTCTCATATACATCATCTTTATTAATATTTTGTATCTATTCATCTCTATTTGAAATATACGAATACTATCATTTAAAAAAAAATGAAAAGGCGCAATTGAGTGTTTGATGAAATAGACAGCTATGTAATATATAAAAATATAGTTTCTTTATCATGATTATCGAAGAGCATTTGCATTGTTAACAATATTATAGTGGTCGTTTATCACGATTATCATATCTAAAAACGCCATCAAACCTAGGTAGGATATTTAGATAGATTTGATGGTATATACGTTTTTACGCAAAGTTACATCCTTATATTCTCTTTGAAATAATTTCGTGCATTTATTAATCGAAAGTATAAATTCAGAAAAGTATGTCACTTTTTAAAATGATTTTCTCACTCTTTATTTCTACAAACAATGAAAATGGAATATTCCAAAAAGTATTTAATGATAAAATTATTTTAATAGATGTCAGTGGTTCCTCAAAACAAGACATTAATGGCTCAATGCAAAGTACTAAGCCTGAATATGCAATATATCCCTGGAACAAGCGATATGACTGGTGTTCCAATTGTGGCCGAAATTATGATGAGCATCCATATATCAGATTCTCATTGAAAAACAAAAAATTTAATTTCAATAGCTACTTCGTCCGCTGTGGATGTTGCTATGAACCTTGTTGCTGTGAAGATGATAATTATGGCTGTTTCTATTGTTGCTTGTATTCGTGGTCTCTTATGATATCAGATGATAATAAAACGTGGACAGAAGTTCATCGAATGAAAGACGAAGATATGCGTCGATGCAACGAGAAGACATACAAACTCGATAAAACATACAGTGCTAAATATGTTGAAGTCATCCAGAACGAAGCATGTCCGGGTGATCCTCCATGCATTGCTCTTAACCGATTTGAACTTTATGGCGATGTCATTGATGACAACGGTGTTTCCGATGATTTTGTTTCATACCACGACGATGACGACGATGTCAGTATCATTGGACATATCTCCAAAAACGGCAATGTCAAACTCATATAAAAATCCCTTTCTCTTTATTTTAATTAATTTTTATGATTCTAAGCAGACTGGAATGAACAAACTAAAAAGAATATGAATGAGATAATAATTGTTGGGTTTCAAACATGTAATAACAAGTTTAGGAAAGACTTCACTTCTTTTCGCCCAAAGACGAATTCTATCGGTTATAAATTCATGTTTCGAAATATCATCCTTTGAAGCAGGATATCCTTTGGATAGATATCCACCTTCTTCATTGCAAAGCATTGCAACAGCATAATGCCACCAAACTGTACCGGGATTTCCATTAAGCAAGGAATAATTATTTATTTTATTTAATACAAGACCTCCCCATCTTGACATTGGTAAATCGGTCACATATCGTTCGAATCCTTCGGCCTTCGTAACATTAGCTACCTCTTCTTCTACTGTAGGAGAATTTCTTTGGCGCCAAGAATTGATTTTATTAAGATTTGGATAATCAAGAATGAAATATCGATATTCGTCGTTCATGAGATATTTAGTTGAGTTTAGATCATATAATATGGAATATTTTCCATGATCATTGATATTCATTGCATCACTTTTATTATTAAAACATTGGTTAGTAAATGAATAATTATGTTCAAATACAAGTTCATACCAACTATAATTATAAAATGTATATGATTTACCATCATAATAATATTCTCTTAATCTCATTGTAAATCAAGTTTAGACGATGTCAAATGAAATTATCTCCAATGTGAATTTCATATATTTGTATCATGTCAATGTGATTATGGTTATTAAAACTATTCAGAATAATTTGTCACTTTTACATAAATTCAGATCAATATTGAATTTTTTCCTAATAAAAATTAAATAATGGAATGTTTATAGGATACCTCATTACAAGATTTCATTATCATTCATCGAAATCATTTATGATAATTTTGAGATTTTTAAAGCAGCGTAAAAATAAATTTCGTAAAGAATTTCTGAAATTTTCGATGTCACTTTTAAAATGATTTTCTTACTGTTTATTTCTGCATTTAGCGAAAAAGGAATATTTGAAAAAGTTTTTAATGATAAAATTATTTTATTTGATGTTAGTGGTTCATCTAAATAAGACATTAATGGTTCAATGAAAATGACTAAACCAGAATACGCGATTTATCCCTGGAACAAGCGATACGACTGGTGTTCTAATTGTATGCGCAGCTATGATGAACACCCTTATATTCGTTTTTCATTGAAAAACAAAAGATTCAATTTCAATAGTTATTTTGTTCGCTGTGGATGTTGCTACGACCCTTGTTGTTGTGAAGATCTGGACTTACATTGTTTTGATTGCTGTTTGTATTCGTGGTCTCTTATGATATCAGATGATAATAAAACGTGGACAGAAGTTCATCGAATGAAAGACGAAGATATGCGTCGGTGCAACGAGAAGACATACAAACTCGATAAAACGTACAGTGCTAAATATGTTGAAGTCATCCAGAACGAAGCATGTCCGGGTGATCCTCCATGCATTGCTCTTAACCGATTTGAACTTTATGGCGATGTCATTGATGACAACGGTGTTTCCGATGATTTTGTTTCATACCATGACGATGACGACGATGTCAGTATCATTGGACATATCTCCAAAAACGGCAATGTCAAGCTTGTTTAAAAAAGTCTCATTAAATATGACAGCAAACAAATATTTCTTGATGTGTTTGCTCCATTGAAATATTTGCATACCAATGTTGAACAATTAATTGAAGATTCGAAATTGTTAAATATAATATTTGGTGATCTGTTATCTTAAATAAACATAATATTATACTATGATTAAATATAAATTTTTGCTAATATTTCACCAATCTTCATTATTATTTATGGGGGGAGGGAAAAAAGTGCATCAAGATTAATACCATTTATAAAGAAGAGAGGTGTATCAACTAAAAATTGGAAACTGAAAAGCCACTTTTTCGCACTTTTTCCCTCATTTTCGCCTGACATTCTATCGTATTTTTATTTCATTATATAATAACATTATATAATCTTTAATTAGTTGATAGCCTGACATTTGACGCGGCAAATTAGAAAAGTGCAAAATTTTTATTATGAATGGAAGTGTGAACTTTCATTAAGAAACCTTCGTGAAAGAACTTTTTATAGGCAAAGAATTATTTCAGAATCAAACTATGTTTACAAGTCTTTAATAATAGTCCTTGAAATTGAATTTTTGAATTTCAATTTAGTGGATGAATAGTATTTTCCTTTTATTAGTTCATACTCAGAAATAATTTACAATAATATTCACTTTACACCACATAAGATCCATCATAATTGCCATTTTCTTTCATTATAATATTAAAAACATTGAGGCTATAATTTTGGCATACACCCTTCACAATATGGATTATATAAGTCGAATTTTTCCAAAAAAATAATTACTGAGCAAATTGTATATTTACCATAAATTATCTTGGTCATTTGATTAAGTTTTTGACAATATAACGCTCAATAGTGCTAATATAGTATTTTGAACTTGTTGAAAATGTTTTTATGCATAAATAAATTTTTATAATTCCAAATTCTAAATAATAAACAATATTTATCTACATAGGGTGCTATCTTGAGAAAATATATTATTATAATCAAGCTTTGTAGAATTATTATTCCTTAATATAGGGATATTATTTTCACAAAATATCAAATATCGATAATCAAAGTTAATACTTATCCTTTTCTATCTATTTATATGCATTATTCAATATATAAACAGGTAGATATTGAAATATTATATGAAATTTGATCTAATGATCCAGAAAATTATGAGGCAATATATGTGTACAACTGCATTATTAAGGTGCTCTATGGATGAATATTAAATGATGAAACAAGCTTTGCTTAGATATGATGGTTAGAGTTGATACACTTCTTAAAGAAGCAATATCAAAGTTTCGTTTTGATGCTAAAATTACGGAGCTCTGAAAACGCAGTTAATTTATAATGGAATATTCATTGATAATATTTTTATTTAATACCATTCTACATGCATTAAAAATTCAATTATGATTCAAATTTTTAATGTAATGTCACTTTTTAAATTAATATTTGCTTTATTTATTTCAGTAATCAGTGAGCGCGGTATATTTGAAAAGGTATTTAATGATAAAATAATTCTCATTGATGTTAGTGGATCTTCAAAACAAAGCATAAATGGTTCAAAGCAATTAACAAAACCAGAATATGCAATATATCCATGGAACAAGCGATACGACTGGTGTTCCAATTGTGGACGAAATTATGATGAGCATCCATATATCAGATTTTCTCTGAAAAACAAAAGATTCAATTTTAACAGTTATTTGGTTCGATGTGGTTGCTGTTATGCACTTTGTTGTTGCGAAGATGATGATTTGAGATGCTTCCATTGTTGCTTGTATTCGTGGTCTCTTATGATATCAGATGATAATAAAACGTGGACAGAAGTTCATCGAATGAAAGACGAAGAAATGCGTCGGTGCAACGAGAAGACATACAAACTCGATAAAACGTACAGTGCTAAATATGTTGAAGTCATCCAGAACGAAGCATGTCCGGGTGATCCTCCATGCATTGCTCTTAACCGATTTGAACTTTATGGCGATGTCATTGATGACAACGGTGTTTCCGATGATTTTGTTTCATACCACGACGATGACGACGATGTCAGTATCATTGGACATATCTCCAAAAACGGCAATGTCAAAATAGAATAAAACCGATATCTAATATTGATATACATCAAGTTGAAAGGATTCTTTTTGTATAATAGCATTGTATAATTTATATTTCATCGATTAAAATATTGGTAAATGATTGAAAGATAAATAAATATTTTTATTGATTCACACAAACAGGAATAAATAAGGGGTTGTGCCATGTGAGGTGAAAATCACCATACACCGATTGGACCTTTTTAAAAAAAGATATGTTGAGTATTTGATTTGTTCCTTGGTATTTTGCACGCAGATAGACTAGGGTAATGCCGATCATTTCGTGTAGGAATTACGTAAAAAAAATTATGACCCAAGTTATTCACATTATAAAATTATATAAAGTGTGTCTAATTTCAATAATATTCATATTACCTTATAGTATGGTACCTATATAATAATACATATAGTTTATAGTAATATCTCAGTTTTTATAGTTTGATATCTTATTAATTATGATCAATATGTGTGTATTAGTGTATATTTTACATGGCGCATATAGACTTGTGTTAGACACACACATTTATATATATTAAAATGAAAAATACGCAGATAATAAGGATCTCAAGATGTGATGCCGAGCATCTGCTACTTATTTGGGGGTAAGCAGCAGATGCTGGCATATATGTGTCATAGCAAGTGTATCTATGCTAATAGATTACACTTGCTATGACTTTCCCGGAATCTCAAGATGATTCCGGGAAAAACAGTAATAACCTCTCAAAATGTTCGTTTCAATATCATAAAGCTGAGAAATGGGCTTTGACCTTGAGAAAAGGCCCATTTCCCAGCTTTATGATGAATTTTAGTTATCATTGCGAGTGTCTGCTGCAAATCTCGGTTGAAGCAGCAGGCACTCGCAACCGTATTCCACGGCAAGTGTATTTATGGTGTTGGAATGCACTTGCCGTGGCTTTTGTACAATCTCGTGATCTTACTGGAGTGAGCGGCAATGGAAGCCAAAACCACTCCACTCAGTACCAGAAAGCTATGAAGGAAGTCCTAACCTAGAGAAAGGGCTTCCTTCATAGCTTTCTGGGTGACATGAGATTTGTAATTGTTGAACATTGAGTATTTTGCAGGCTCTGGCCTTTGCTTGGGCCAGAGCTTCGTATTTGGATGTTCCCAGGGCCGGATTCCTCTCCTGCCGCCCTAGATCAGGACGGCATTTGAGAAAGCCGGCCCTGAGGACAGTAAGCGAAGCCCTGGCCTTTGCTAGGGCCAGAGCCTGTATTTGTATGTCTTTCAGGGCCGAGTTCTTGCGAGACCGTCGACATGATCGACGATCATCGCAAAACTCGGCCCTGAGGATTGTATTTGCAGGCTCTGGCCTTAGCAATGGCCAGAGCTTGTGATTTTAATGAAGAGCCAAGTTCCTCTCGGATCGGGCCTAATGAGGACGACCGTCGAGGAATTTGGCTCTGAGCTGATGAATTGTAAACTCTGGCCTCGATGAAGGCCAGAGTTTTTAAGGGAATGTTTTGATGGGATGAGCCTATGCTCAGTAAGCTCATCCCATCAAAACATTCGTTTAAAAATTGAATTAAAAATTATCGTATGCATTGAAAAATTAAAAAAATAAAAATGAACAATATTATTATATAATGAGAATAGAATAAATTATCATAAAATTGAATAAAATTATCCAAAAAAATTGAAAATTTTAAAAATTAAATAAAAAAATAACAAATTTCATAAGAAAATTAAGGAATAGAGAAATATTAGATAGAAAGAGTATGTTTATTTATGATTATAAGATTGAAATAATGAGATTTTGAGAGTTTTAAGAAGAATGTGATCTTTATATTTTTTTGGAGGAAGGTTTTACAAGAAAGGAGTTAACAAATGCAGGGTATTATCCCTTTACCCTGCATTTGTAAACTCCTTTCTCGAATTGAAATTCGATGTTTAACATTCTTTGAAAAAGTGCAAGCTATTCGAGAAAGGAGTTTACAAATGCAGGGTAAAGGAACAATACCCTGCATTTGTAAACTCCTTTCTCGAATTGAAATTCAATGAATCACATTCAAGTGAAAAAGTGCAAGCAATTCCTGATTTGCTCATATAGGTGCAGGGTGCCAGTGATAGACCCTGCATATATATGTGCAGAATGGGAAAAGTGTTTGCAACATTCGCATCGAAAGGTAAAAGTGCAAGCTTTTCCCATTCTGCACATATCGGTGCAGGGTACCAGTGATAGACCCTGCATATATATGTGCAGAATGGGAAAAGTGTTTGACACATTCGCATCGAAAGGTAAAAGTGCAAGATTTTCCCATTCTGCACATATTGGTGCAGGGTGCCAGTGATAGACCCTGCACATATGTGTACAGAATGGAAAAACTATCTACTTTGAATATTCTGCATCGGAATCTCTTGGTCAATATACAATTAAATACAATGATCACATCGATATTTGGAGATACAAGATAAGTATCTCCAAATGCCGATGTGATCATATATGATTGTCGATAAAAATTTGAAATCTCAAATAAGATGCAGATTAAAAAATGGATATGTGACCAAAATGAGTTTACAAACACAATATAGAGTATATATATAGATACCTCATTGTATTCAAAATGAAATAAAACAAAATTTTTGAAATTCATATCTTATATAAAACACATTATTCCTCAATACTATATGAGTAAATATGGCTTGATTAGTATAGATATATGCACATATATTTGGCCCCCAATATAAATTCTATGTTTTCGGGAAAGCAAAAGGTCCAATCGGTGTATGATAAATTTCACCTCACATGGCACCGCCCCTTGCGAATCACTAAAGAATGTAAATTTGCCACATGTTACATTTGCTAATGATTATGCTTTCTTTGGCTGTAAGGCTCTTGAAACGATTAGTTTAGAAGAACTAACAACCATTGGTGATGTTGTTTTCTTCGAATGTAAATCACTTAAGAATGTAAATTTGCCAAATCTTACAATTGCTAATGATTCTACTTTCTGCGGTTGTGAATCGCTGAAGAATGTATATTTGCCACATCTTACAATTGCTAATCAAGATGTTTTCAGTGGTTGTAAGGCTCTTGAAACGATTAGTTTAGAAGAACTAACAACAATTGGTAAAAGTGTTTTATACGATTGTGAATCACTTAAGAATGTATATTTGCCACATCTTACAATTGCTAATTTTGATGTTTTCTTTGGCTGTAAGGCTCTTGAAACAATTAGTTTAGAAGAACTAACAACAATTGGTGACTTTGCTTTCACGGATTGTGAATCACTTAAGAATGTAAATTTGCCAAATCTTACAAGTTGCGGTCAATCTGCATTTAGTGGTTGTGTTTCACTTGAAACAATTGAATTAAATGAAGTAACATCAATGGGTGAAACTGCATTTTACAATTGCAAATCTCTTAAAAATGTAACAATGTCTCATCTCAAAATTGTTAGTAGAGAAGCATTTTATCTCTGTAAAGCACTTGAAACAGTAAACTTTGAAGAAGTAACCGCTATTAATGAAGGAGGATTCTTTCAAATTGAGTCTCTGAAAAATGTAAATATTCCTCATCTTCAAACTATTGAACATAAAGCATTTATTGGTTGTAAATCACTTGAAACAGTTAATTTTGAAGAATTAACAATTGTTGGTACAGAAGGATTTTCTTATTGCACAGCACTTAAGAATGTAAATATTCCACACCTCCAAACTATTAATGAAAGTGGATTCGAATATTGTGAATCACTTGAAACAATTGAATTCAACGAAGTTACATTTTTAGGCAGATATGCTTTTGTAATGTGTAGTTCATTAAAGAATGTTCAACTTAAATCTGTAAAAACACTTTCAAGAGGATGTTTTGCATCATGTACATCAATTGTTGAACTAAATCTAACATCTGTAACAGAGATCATCGATGATTCTGTATTTTCTAACTGTCCATCATTAAAGACATTGATATTAACAAATTTAGAAAAAGTTAATTCAAGTTGTGAAGATATATTTGCTTTTTGCTATGATCTCAAAGATATTTACTTTGGCAATTATCCACCTAATGAATTCAATCAATACATATCATTTAAAGGTATGACAGTTCATATTCCATCAGAAGATTCTTGGGGAAATTATGTTTCTCAATCTCAAGAAATTTCACCAAATCACTATAAATGGCATAATTTCGAATTCACTTATTATCCACCTCCAACATCACAACCAACAACAACAACGACAACAACAACTGATCCACCAACATATCAGCCAACAACAACAGCGCCAGGATCACCAACACCAGATGATAAGCAAAGAAGGAAGCGAGTTATAGTTATTTCATCTACAGTTTCTGTTGGCATTCTCATCATCATTGTTATATTAGTAGCATTCGTTCTTATCTCAAGAAAGAGGAAACAAGTTGAACTTCTTCAATCTCAACCTCTATTAACTCAAAGTTAATTGATAAATTTTTTTTTGACACACAAGCTTTCTATCCCAATATTCTTATGTCAATAGTTAGTATTTTTGGCCAGGAGAAAGTAAATATAATTCACTATATAGTAGCTAATATGGCTTTTATACCTTTCTGCTATTAAAATAAAGGTTTATTGATTTTTTCATAGAATGTCAGAAAGTTGAAAGTACACCCTTTAATTTTTAGTTTCCATTAATAAATATATATATATTTATGAACTGTTTTAAAATGTGTTTTGTTTTCTGATCATTGATCCGAAAAGTTTAACCTCCAAAGTCGTTTTTTTTATTCATGTTGAGCTTTTTATACGTTTGTTGTTTGTTGTTGAAAGTAGCAATCAATGACATCGAATACGACGGCAATTCTCTTGATGATATACTCGAAAAAAACAAAATCCAGAAAGATTCAGTGAAAACTCTTCACGTTTTATCAGGTGATTTTGACATGAAAGGATTTGCATCGAAAGAATATTCAAATCTTGAAACATTCGAACTTGAAGATGGCTGCTACAGCGGTCCTATTTCCCAAAATAATTTCGGACATTCAAAAAGTCTTAAAGTCCTCAGAATATACAGCGAAATAACCACCCAACCATACTTCTTAGATGGAAGCAATGTCTCAGAAATATGTTTCACAAATTTGAAAGATGAAACTGTAAGTACATCTTTTAAAACAGATAATCTTCAAAATATTACATTGATTGGTCCAACAACAATTTCGGAATTTGCATTTAATGATCGCGTATTATTAACTACAGTTTCAATTCCAAATGCAACAATTATTGAAAAATATGGTTTTAGTTCTTGTGAATCACTAAAGAACATAAATATGCCGCATATTACAATTGCTAATAATTCTGCTTTCAATGGTTGTAAAGCTCTTGAAACGATTAGTTTTGAAGAATTAACAACAATTGGTGACTTTGTTTTCGAGGATTGTGAATCACTTAAGAATGTAAATTTGCCAAATCTCACAAGTTGCGGTCAATCTGCATTTAGTGGTTGTGTTTCACTTGAAACAATTGAATTAGATGAAGTAACATCAATGGGTGGATCTGCATTTTCCTATTGTAAATCTCTTAAAAATGTAACAATTCCTCATATCAAAATTGTTAGTAAACTTGCATTTTATAACTGCGAAGTACTTGAAACAGTAAACTTTGAAGAAGTAACTGCTATTAATGAAGATGGATTCTCTCAATGTGAGTCTCTGAAAAATGTAAATATTCCTCACCTTCAAACTATTGAATACCAAGCATTTATTAGTTGTAATTCACTTGAAACAGTTAATTTTGAAGAATTAACAATTGTTGGCACAGAAGGATTTTCTTCATGCAAAGCTCTTAAGAATGTAAATATTCCACACCTCCAAACTATTAATGAAAGTGGATTCGAATATTGTGAATCACTTGAAACAATTGAATTCAACGAAGTTACATTTTTAGGCAGATATGCTTTCATGCAATGTAGTGCATTAAAGAATGTTCAACTTAAATCTGTAAAAACACTTTCAAGAGGATGTTTTGCATCATGTACATCAATTGTTGAACTAAATCTAACATCTGTAACAGAGATCATCGATGATTCTGTATTTTCTAACTGTCCATCATTAAAGACATTGATATTAACAAATTTAGAAAAAGTTAATTCAAGTTGTGAAGATATATTTGCTTTTTGCTATGATCTCAAAGATATTTACTTTGGCAATTACCCACTTAATAAATTCCATAAAGAAATAACATTTAAAGGTATGACAGTTCATGTTCCATCAGAAGATTCTTGGGGAAATTATGTTTCTCAATCTCAAGAAATTTCACCAAATCACTATAAATGGTATGGTTTCGAATTCACATATTATCCACCTCCAACACCACAGCCAACATATCAGCCAACAACAACAGCGACAGGATCACCAACACCAGATGATAAGCAAAGAAGGAAGCGAGTTATAGTTATTTCATCTACAGTTTCTGTTGGCATTCTCATCATCATTGTTATATTAGTAGCATTCGTTCTTATCTCAAGAAAGAGGAAACAAGTTGAACTTCTTCAATCTCAACCTCTATTAACTCAAGTTTAATTAATAAACATTTTTTTTATCTAATATTAAATTATTTTTAATTTGAGAAAATTTGTTGATTTTACGAAATATCAAATTAGATATTTCAATACTTCTTTTAGTCAAAAAGAGGTGTAAAGAAGAGCTTCTGAGTTTATTTACAAAGAAATTATGTTTTTGGCATTATTGAGAAGGGTACTATCAAGAAGAAATTTACCAGAGCGTTCGATTGACAAAGGATTATATGTTTTTGGAACGACGATATGTCATATTCGACCCTACAGTGGACCCTTAAGGGAGCACTTACCACTTTATGACAAACTCGTCAAAAACTACCAGATGACAATAATAATACCTTTTTTAACTATTACTAGTTTAGTAAATGCAAAAAAAAGTAACAATAACTTTTTCCCGAACAAATAATTAACTTTTTACCTTAGAAAATTTAGATAAAAAGTTAGCGTGTCAATAAAATTGAAAGAGCGTCAGAAAGTAGTAAGTGCGCCATTAAACCCATTTTCCTATGTAAAGTCTCATTATATTTATCATTCCATCAACATTGATAAAACTCTTAAAAAAAATGAACAAGAGAATTTACGAAGGAAAATGAGTTTTCTCATTTCAATTCTCAAAATTTTGTATTTTAAGGACCTGAGATACCCTTTATATTTTTCAATATTCCATCAACCAAATAATGGAGTTCTTATCTAAGTACTTATCTTTTGCAATTTTGATAAGTCAAGGGAGACTTAAACTGGAAACCAATGCTCTTTTTGTTGTTTGCAAGATGAAAAAGAGGTCTTTTTCTCCAAAACATATGTTTCCAACAATTTCTGTCATCAATAATGGAGTTTTTAGCTTTGTCTGAATGTCTTAACTTCTTTTGAGACTTAAGATGTTCTGAAAGCATTTTTCTGTATTTTGTTCCCAAGGGATCCTAATATAACTAGGTGGACTGTGAATTGAAGAAACTATGATTTAAAATGCGGTAGAAAAAAACCATATAATCCATTGTCAATAATAATTTCTTTGTTAAAAGCAACAATAAACTCAGAAGTTCTTCTTTAAACATCTTTTTGGCTAAAACATATATTGGAATGTCTAATTTGATAATTAGAAAAATCAACAAAAATCTCATATTAAAAATATTTGATAAAAGAAATTTGTTTATTAATTAACTTTGAGTTAATAGAGGTTGAGATTGAAGAAGTTCAACTTGTTTCCTCTTTCTTGAGATAAGAACGAATGCTACTAATATAACAATGATGATGAGAATGCCAACAGAAACTGTAGATGAAATAACTATAACTCGCCTCCTTCTTTGCTTATCATCTGGTGTTGGTGATCCTGTCGCTGTTGTTGTTGGCTGATATGTTGGCTGTGGCGTTGGCTCTGGTGTTTGTTGTGGTGTTGGAAGTGGATAAGTGAATTTGAAATTATGCCATTTATAGTGATTTGGTGAAATTTCTTGAGATTGAGAAACATAATTTCCCCAAGAATCTTCTGATGGAATATGAACTGTCATACCTTTAAATGATATGTTTTTATGGAATTGATTAGGCGGACAATTGCCAAAGTAAATATCCTTGAAATTATCACTAAAATCAAATATATCAGCACAACTTGAATTAACTTTTTCTAAATTTGTTAATATCAAAGTCTTTAATGATGTACAATAAGAAAATACAGAATCATCGATGATCTCTGTTACAGATGATAGATTTAGTTCAACAATTGATGTACATGATGCAAAACATCCTCTTGAAAGTGTTTTAACAGATTTAAGTTGAACATTCTTTAATGAACTACACATTACAAAAGCATTTCTGCCTAAAAATGTAACTTCATTGAATTCAATCGTTTCAAGTGATTCACAATATTCGAATCCACTTTCATTAATAGTTTGGAGGTGTGGAATATTTACATTCTTAAGAGCTTTGCATGAAGAAAATCCTTCTGTGCCAATAATTGTTAATTCTTCAAAATTAACTGTTTCAAGTGATTTACAACCAATAAATGCTTTATGTTCAATAGTTTGAAGATGAGGAATATTTACATTTTTCAGAGACTCAATTTGAAAGAATCCTCCTTCATTAATAGCGGTTACTTCTTCAAAGTTTACTATTTCAAGTGCTTTACAGAGATAAAATGCTTCTCTACTAACAATTTTTAGATGAGGAATTGTTACATTTTTAAGAGATTTGCAATTGTAAAATGCAGTTTCACCCATTGATGTTACTTCATTTAATTTGATTGTTTCAAGTGAAACACAACCACTAAATGCAGATTGACCGCAACTTGTGAGATTTGGCAAATTTACTTTTTTAAGTGATTCACAATCCGTGAAAGCAAAGTCACCAATTGTTGTTAGTTCTTCTAAACTAATCGTTTCAAGAGCTTTACAACCATTGAAAGCAGAATTATTAGCAATTGTAAGATGTGGCATATTTGCATTCTTCAGTGATTCACATCCTTTGAAAGCATTATCATTAGCAATTGTGAGATTTGGCAAAATTACGTTCTTAAGTGATTCGCAACCTTTGAAAACATTTTTACCAATTGTTGTTAGTTCTTCAAAATTAATCGTTTCAAGAGCCTTACAGCCTTCGAAAGCACTATCATCAGCACTTGTAATATGCGGTAAATTTATGTTCTTAAGTGATTCGCAACCTTTGAAAACATTTTCGTCAATACATTTTGCAGTTGGAATTGAAACGGTAGTTAAAAATTTACGATAAGAAAATACATCCATACCAATGTTTGTTGGACCAACTAACGTAATATTTTGAAGAGATGGCGCTTCATAAGTTGAATATAAATTATCAACTTTTAAATTTGTGAAACAAATTTCTATTGGGTCGGCAAAAACTACGAAGTCTAAATCAGTAGTTACTTCGCTGTATATTCTGATGATTTTTATACTCTCTGAATTTCCGAAATTTTTAATGGAAATTGGACCGCTGTAGCAGCCATCTTCAAGTTCGAATGTTTCAAGATTTGAATATTTATCCGCTGCAAATCCTTTCATGTCAAAATCACCTGATATAACGTGAATCGTTTTCACTGAATCTTTCTGGATTTTGTTTTTATCGAGTATATCATCAAGAGAATTGCCGTCGTATTCGATGTCATTGATTGCTACTTTCAACAACAAACAACAAACGTATAAAAAGCTCAACATGAATAAAAAAAAATGAACTTTGGGGGTTAAACTTTTCGGATCAATGATCAGAAAACAAAACACATTTTAACACAGTACATTTGATGTATTCTTCTAAATATTCATTTTTTATCAAGTATCAAAATCTGTAGTTCCGATCAATTCTCACATAAAAAAATTGAGAAAAAAAATTTAAAAAACGATATCGCAAAAAATAAACATCTATCAAAAACATTTTCCAAAATCGAATGGTCTATTATTCAATTTTTCCTCCCTTTCGTTTACAATGAAAAGAATTGGAGGAATACATATTTTTAAAAAAATCAGGTGAACCACTCTTGAACTTTTATTTTTAGTAAATTCTAAAAGATAGTCATGGCAAACTTCAAAGAGTTCATTAAATCGGAAGTCTTTCATAGTACTAGAACCATAACAATTTCTTATTGCTTTCGGATTTACAATTGTTATTGTGTCATCTCATAGCCATGATCAAAATCCATCAATTTTATCTGAAATCTTGGTAGCATTTTTTATTTTTTTCTTCTCTTGATGTTCAAAGATATTTTATATTGTAAAATGGAAGGTTTAACAGTGGAGTGTGGTTTGGAAATCTACTTATGGCGTTAATCAATTTATAATTTTAATTGAAATCTATTAAGGGTGCCCTATAACGATAATGTAAACATCACAAAATTAACCTTATTAGAACTCGAATGAATGGATTATCCAGATTCTAGTTCTCAATATAATAGCCTTAAAAGTGCTTTTCTGAGGGTGGTCTATCGTCTATAGGGCACCCTTAAGGTCGCCAAAAAAAGTGCGGAAATTAAAAACCGCTGTTTGAGTACTTTCTGAGGGTCTGTTCGTCAGAAAGTATACATTTGTAAACTTTCTGACACTAAAAAATTTTGGTCCTTTCAAAGTTTTTGACAGTGACAAAAAGTATACATCGAGGTTCTCAATTTTACTCTCAAACGGCGGTTTTTTAAAAACGCTCAATTTTTCATTGACCTTATTGTATATGTGGAAATGCAAAATTTTTGGTGGAAATTTTAAATTTAAATTTTTTCATGTCAGATCAAGACATTCATACAGATAAATTCAGTGAATTGCGAAGTATTTATAAATACCACATCGATTCATATAATGCGTTGTATCAACTAAAAATGGAAAATGAAGAAGAACTAAACTCAATTTACAAAATGATCAAAACAGAATTGATTGATTCAAAGAAAAACCTTCCCACAAATGTAATAAGGGATATTTTCCGTATCATTCCGTATAGAAATCGCTATACAAACTTATATTTATCTCTTGCGAAACTCATTTATGATGAATATCATATCAAAAATGTCAACGAAATCATAAGTATTTCAAACTTCTTGTTTTATTCAGAATATGGGATTGCATTAGATAACTCTGATGATTTCCACACTATTCACACAGAACATCTCTACTTTTTTGGGAGGAAATCCAGATATAATGAGTGAATGTTTGAAATATCAAGAACCATATTCTGATTGTATGAAGTTTGCAATTATTTCACACAACATTGACTTTGTTACATTTTTGATAAATGAATATGATATAGAGATCAACTTAAGATGTTGCGGAAAGTATAATAATCTTGAGGCATTATTAATTTATTTCGATCAAACTAATGATTTTCAAAAATGCTTTGTATATTCTGCGAAGTTAAATATAATATCCCTTATAAAATATTTCCTTTCATTTGGTCCAAATATCAACGAAGAAGATAGGGATGGACACAGTGCACTTTATACAGCGGTGTGTTATAATGATAAAGAAACAGCCGAACTTCTTATTTCGCATGGTGCAAATATTAATAAAATATAAATGGGTGGAATAACTGCTCTTCATATGGCGGCATTTTATAATAGTAAAGAAATGGCTGAAATTCTTATTTCTCATGGTGCAGATATCAATGAAAAAGGTGGATGTGGATGTCATGCACTTCACATTGCAGCGAATCATAATCATAAAGAAACGGCCGAAGTTCTTATTTCACATGGTGCAAAAATCAATGAAAAAGATGATTTCGGATATACCCCTCTTCATAATGCAGTATTACATGCTGATAAATTTATTAGCAAACTTCTTATTTCACATGGTGCAAAAATCAATGAAAAAAATAATTTCGGATATACTGCTCTTCATATTGCGGCAAGTCGTAGTAAAAAAGAAATTACCAAACTTCTTATTTCACATGGTGCAGATATCAATGCTAAAACTAAAGATAACCAAACTCCACTTCAATTGGCAATGCAATATCATATTACAGAAACAGCTGAAATTCTTATTTTGAATGGTGCAAATATCAATGGAAAAGATAATGATTGATACACTGCTCTTTATAATACAGCGAGTCATAATGGTCAAGAAACATTTGAACTTTTGTTTTGTCTTTGAAGATGAATTTTATTAGAAATAAAAAATAATCGTAGGAAAGATTTTTATTACTTTTCAATGCTTTTATAAATAATTCAATAGTTGTGACACTTTTTACGGGCTTATAAATAAGCCCGAAAAAGTATCAAGCAACTATTAAAATATATATACTCACTTTTTAATTGTCGTCCCTCCTCTCAAAAAGTGACTAATATATTTTGAAAATTTATGTTATCTAAAATAAATATACCAAATTTTGACACATATGTGAATACTTCCCAGCTCCAAGTAAATATATATAATTTTGAGTTTGCAAAATTTCGGAACAACAACACAAGTTGGACAGCGTGAAGAAAAGATCAAGAGAATAATTTAATTTTATCTGGTTATATTCTTTCAATCAATATCCTGTGTTTTGCAGCCTGTAAACTTCTCAAAAATTGACGAACTCTTCTCAAAATTGAATAATTTACATCTAGATACAACGACATAATTTCCGATTAATTTTTTTAGACAATGATAATTACTATTGCTAAAGCTACAACAATTGTAATGTTTTATTTTCTTTCACAGTAACCTATTGTTTGAGACAACAAGGAATTGATATTCCGGCTTGGTACCTATGTATCTGGATCTAAGACTCTCCCTCTAGTGCACAAGAATTCAAATGAGAGGGCATGCTATCGAGTTTGTTCCAAAATTACGTGTTTGAAGACCCACTGTATATATATAACTTGTGTGAGTTTTGAGAGTTTTGTACGGCATTTGCCGGCAAATGCTATGAAGAGTTATTTGAAATCTTCTAACCGGCAACCCCTGATCTTACATGATATTTTCTGGGTCGCTATGAAATTGCAGAGGAGGAAGCAATATATTATGCCAAAATAGTACTTTGGCTATCATTGGTAATACGTAAGATTGATACTGTTGTAAAATTTGGAAAAAAAAATAAATGTATCAACTTTAATGCAAGAAATGATGATTAGAACATCGAATAATTGGATTTTTGCAATATTAATATTCTTTAGTCTCTAGTATATCATCATTTCATACTAATCGCGTGGATCGATTCCGTTTCAATGATCAGATAAAGCAGAAACAATATACTCAGGTGCCACTTTTTTATTCTAAAAAATGAGTTTATAAATACTACAAAATAAACTTGCTCTGGAAAAAAACATGCCAAATTAAAATACTGTAACTATAAGTAAATTTTTATTGCAATTTATATGAACAAAAAAGATAATAATTCTAAAATTTTATTTTGTAGGTTTGGAACTCTTAAAGAATTCAAGGAAATACAGTAACTTGACCCATGCAATCATTGCTTTGCGAATCCAAATGTCTTGAATACCAATATTGATGACCATATCAGAATTAACTGTTTGTAAGTTAATTTTTAGAGATTTGCAATGCTTCTCGATTTCGTATGCAGTTGCTAGATTAAGATCATGGACATTTTCAAAGATTTGGTGGAATGCACCGTAAGTAATTGATCCAAGCGCATAAAAGTCTTCTGGAACGTATCCAGGTAATGGATCATTGTTTACGAAGTCAACCATTGTAACAACTTGCTTAGATTTTGTTGCACCGAACTTTGTAAGGTAATTAAAGTACTGGTAATCAACTAGAAGCTTTCCATGGCATCTAAGGCCACCAGTGACAAAGTAGGAAATGCCTGGAGCTGTAATTGATATGATAGTGATGCGTGGAGTCTTCTTTTTGGTTAAATTTAAGAGTTTTGAAGGAACAGTTGTAATATTTTCATTGATACATAAAACAATCTCGTATTTTATGTTTGTAAACTTTTGTTCTAATGAATCATAAGCATTGATAAAATCATTCAAAGATTGGATTGTATATTCTTTAATATAATAAATAAATGATACATCAATGCCACCCGTGGGCTCTTTTTCGATAACATATGTATTCTTTCCTCGATCTCTTGTTAAAGATTCTCTTTGAGTTTTATAAAATGAAATATGAGTGATATACTTCTTGAAAACATGATATACAAAAATCGAAGCCGTTGCTACAATGATGGATACCATTAATATAACAACATCTAGAGATGCGAAAACCATTTTTTTCTTGAAAAAGTGACAATTTCGAAAACTTCTCTTCATTTCGCAGTTAATTACTCACTAATACCAAACATTAGAGAACAAAATTATTACGAACTTGCTTAACTCTTCTTGTTCTTATGTAATGATATGAAATGCTTATCTCTGACGAAAATATAATCATCTCGAATTGATAATTTCTTATTTGCATATAAAGCATCTGTAAGCATGACCTGAAAAGTGTTATTTGAGAACTGAGGAGCATTCTTGATTTTTAATCAAATCTAATCTAAATCAACACATTTGTTGGAGCCATATCTCAAATCAATAAAATTTTTCTGATTCATATACTTTAATCGGCCTATAGTTGTAAGATAAATCAAGGAAGAGAAGATAAAAATATGTACATCTATGAACAGATTGAGAATTTTTCCTATAATTTGTTTTTCCTAGCTTATGTGATCACAGTGATATGTTATTGATATTTCTTAGTAAATTTCAAAAAAAGTGACTTTGATGACGTTTAAGAATTCGAAAAGATGGATAAGTTAACTTCAAGGCAATTGCAGCAGAAACTTAATGAGTTAGGTTTTGAGCAATATTCTGCAGTATTTTTACAAAACGAGATCAGTGGTGCAGATATTCCTTATATTACAGAAGATCATCTTATCGAAATGGGTGTTGAACTTATTGGACATAGAATGTTACTTATAAAAAGACTTAATGAATTATATGAAGGAAAGAATCCAGATCCAGTTCACTTAATTGACGGTTCAAATAATGCTAAATCCAAACCAGAACCAAAAATATCTCGCGCTGAAGTTAATTATTCATACAATAGACGTACTTATGAAGATAATAGTGATTCTGATGATTTCAAACAAACCAAACCTCAACCAGTAGTTAATCAAAAAACAACTCGTACACCTAAGTATAATTATCACCAATCTGAGAGTGATGAGTACGAAAGTCGTTCTCATAAACGAGAGAATACTTATAATATAGAAAATCAAGATGTTCCACGACCAATATTAAAATCATCAAACGCTTCATCTTCATCCAGACAAGACGCGTATGATTCTGATCAAACACGTCCTTCTAAGAGAGAAACACCAAAAATTTCACGTACAACTATTCAGACCTCTTCAAATACAGAAGAAAAAACAGAAAAGAAACTATCTAAGAAAGATTCTGAAGGAACAAAGTTGAGTGAGGCTTCATCAACTATAAGAAACTCTACTTCCAAACTTCAATCAAAGCCTTCGCAGTCTAAACCTGAACCAAAATTACAGCCTGCTGCATCTGAATCTCAATTTAATACGCAAAATCTTAATACACAAGATAGTTCTGATAGAGTTGTTTGTCAGTATTGTGGAAGAAAGTTCCTTCCTGATGCTGCGAGACGTCATATCCCTGTCTGTGGAAGAATTAGGGGTATGTCTAAGAAATAAAATATATTTTGCAATTTTTGTTTTGGGAAATCAGCTAATTCTTTTTACTTCTAATACAAAAAAAAAAAAAAAAAAAAAAAAAAAAAAAAAAAAAGGTAGTGGGGCTTCCAGGCACTTCGTGCCTTCTAGCCCTGAGGATGATTGGTATAATGAAGTTTTTTTTTTCTTGGGGTGGCCTTCCAGGGGCTGCGCCCCTTCTAGCCCACATAAATGAAGTTCTTATTTGGAGGGCTTCCAGGCGCGTTGCGCCCTCTAGCCCCTAAGAAATTTTGCCCAAGACCCAAGAGGAGGACCGAACCCCAGCCGACCAGCCGTTGACTTTTTTGTAGAGCACTCAAAATAGTATAACTTTGTCCGGACAAGTAAGGGTCTATCGTCGCTACAGGAAAAGTTACAGGCGTTCCAAGGAAGTATACTTTGAGAAGCCTTTTCCCCCTTATAGAATGAGATAGGACGGTTATTTTACAAAACCGACAAGACCTTAACCGAGTAGTTTTTTGTGCTGAACAAAAAGTGTCATATATACATCTGTCAAAAACCGCTTTTTAACTTCACTTAAAATGCCACGTAAGCTACGTAAGAATATACGTAAGAGGAAGGGAGCATTGAAACATCCAAAAGTAAAACTGACACCACAACAACAGTTGCAACAACAAATGCTGAATGACCCCACTATGTTGCAACAAATGTCAAGCAATCCTATGCTTTTAAACCGAGTTGTTGGTGCACAGAGTGGAGGTTTAAGAGCGGCACTTTTAGCGAAAATGGCAGGCTATGGTGGAGCTGCAGACGGAACAGCATATAACCCTCAAAGTCAAATGAATTTGAGTTCACTCAAAAATCAAATAACAGATGTCAAAAAGTCAAACATAGACATACAGAAGCAAATAAGTGAAAACGAAAAGAAACTAGAATATGACAGACACACAAAGAAACTCAATGAGTTAAACGTAGAGAAAAAGAAGAAAGAAGAACAACTGAAAGAACTAAGTACAGAGGAATATGCGAAAAAAGTGTCAGAAAAAGCAGCAGAAGTAGCAAAAATGGAACAAGATGTTGTAAATTTGAAAAACCATACGACTCGATATAAAGTACTGAAAGATGAAGAGATAAAACAAAAAGCCCTGAAGACATATATGGATAGCGATGAGTATAAAAAAGAAGTTGAAGCAAATGTAAAGGCAGAAAAACTTTTACAGTTGCAAAACCAAACCGTACAGTATGAAAACTTAGCACAAGAAAGTAAAAATAACGACGCGGCTATGCAAAAGGCAATGAAAAGCGCAGAATATATAAAAGCTAACAATGACTGGTTAGATGCCCAAGCCAACGCTAAAGCAGCCCAACTCATAGGGTCAATAAGGACAAAAATACAAGCGGATGAAGACAGTTCAAATGAAACTTTAACAAATGCTGACTTTAAGAACGCCTTCGAAGCTCTTCATAGTAAGGTGAAACAAGTGAACGACTTCTCATCTGGAAAGAAACTGAAGTCTGAAGGTTTCGACAAAGAGTTAAAAGAAGTAGCACAAAATATGACGAAAATAACAGATGCAGCAACGAGACAGGCAGTTCAAAGTGCCTATGACGCCGTTAGAGCAACTGTTGTGAAAAGTCAAGAAAAAGAGTTACAACAGACCAAAACAGACCTAGTAAATGCTTTCTTAAAAACGAAAAGTCAGGTAGGACATTACGCTGCAGATGGAACATATGTGCCAGCTGGTGGAACTTATATACCACCAAACCCTCCAAGAGAAGCACCTGCACCAGGACTACCTAAAACATTTACATCGTCACATGGACATAGACACAGGCATGCACCAAAACCAACACAACAACAACAACCAACACAACAACCAACAGTTCAAAACCCTGCACAACCAACAGTTCAAAACCCTGCACAACAACAACCACAAACAGAGCAAGGACATAAAAGAAGTAGAGAACAAGGAAACCAAGAATTCTTAAAAATGCTTAAAGAAGAGTGTGGTTTCCCAGATACTGTTGACTTTAGTGACAGATATAAAGAAGCTATTAGAAAGTTCAAGGATGGAAATACTGACCCGAACCTATTTAGCTTTATGGCTCAGCACCAAAACGGATATAATCTCAAACCTGGAAAATACAAGCTCGCTAAGGGATATGATTTAATAGCATATCATCCAAATGACATGGATGAATTTACTCCGAGATATTTGATGTCAGAGCTAAATGACAATTCAACTTTCGTCATGAAACGCGTAAAAAATAGAGACGGAACGAAAGAACAAAAGCTTATGAATGCGGATGACGTAGATAGGGAAATTGTTGAAAACGGTCTCGGAATATATGAAATGCCAGCAGATGAGGTACAAGAAACTCCACAGGAAGAAGTTCAGATACAACCAGACATGGAAAAATAGTTCAGCAACAACAGCTAGAAGAGCCTGAAGGAAACGAACAAGTCCTTCCTTTGGAAACTAACTTCACAGAACTAGATGAAGATTTGGAACAGCCGAAAAATCTTGACCCTCAACAAGAGTATGCGGAGAATATGGAATATTTCCAAGAGTCTAAAAAAAATTCGGCTGACATAGTAGAAGAATATCGAAAAATGTTTGCCGACATACAAAAGACTCCAGCACCAGATGAAAATATTCAGCATAGAATGGAAGCACTGAAAGAAAATGTACACAAATACAACAACCCTTTTTACTTACGAGCATTTAACGTTCAATCTTCGGATGAACTCGGTGAAAATAAAAGGTTAAATTTCAAGAAAACATATAGAAATGAAACATTGTTTAAAGTTCATTCAGAACCTAACCAAGATGGAAACAACCTACTTTTGTTTCTGCAGACGATGGAACTACAATGAGATGGGGTCATAAAGCTAACCCGGATAGGTGGTTCATAAACTTACAACCTCAATTCCAAGAAGTTGTAGACGCAATGGAAGTCAATGGTGAACCAGATATAGCTGGTATTTTAAGCGCGGCTTTAATGCCATTGAAAGATATGAAACATGCAGATATTTTGGACCAGTATGAAATGAACATGGCTGATGGAAATATAACACCTGACGTTCTAGAACATTTATCTCAAAGAACTACACAGAACCATAGAGATGGTATATTTTGGTGAAGAGTTTAGAAAGAAAGTTAGGGAGCGGAGAAGGAAGAGAACCTATTGTACATGACCTTGCAAACGAAAGTTTACAAAATGTCATAAAAACTTACTTTGCAGGCGATGAATCGAGAAGGGATGAATATTTAAGAAAACTCAAATGGACAGTACCAAATGAAATGTTAGTATTGAAAAACATGTTCCTTGACAAAATAAAACCAACTACAGAAATAAACGACGCAAGACTGAAAGATTGGGTAAAAGCTTTCCCATTCACAAAAGATATTATTGGTAACATGGAAAGAAAACCAGAATGGCTACAAAAACATATATTTGGAAACGAGCTTATTCCATATGGACAAGCTCTGTTTGAAGAGCTTGAACCAGAAACTCAGGAAAGAGTCATGCAAACAATACGCGAAGACTCAAATACAAACTATGACAAAATCTTTCTAGGATATAGGTTACCTGAGATGGGCGACCAGAGCCAAAAGGCAAAAAGGACATGGGAAATTTGCAACATACTAGATGAACATAATGCAAAGATGCAACAACTTCAAGCAGAGGGCAATGAAGGAAAAAGAAGAGTTAAAAACTCAGTCAGGAAGAAAGTAAAGCTTGGTCCACGTGGGTTCTATTATGACATATAAATCCAACTATTCTATATTTTTACTCATATGAAATGTACGCCGCTCAGAATATAACGCCAACAGTTTTGGATGCTATGAATGGAAATGTTTCCGAATGGTATAACGAATGCGACAATGCCATTAGAAGGTCAGAAATAGTTCCTGGAACTTACGAATATACAACTGCTGTTTCTTATGGAAATGTAGGTGAGTTTGGAGAAGGTTCTTCAACAACAGTAGATATTGCTTGCGACAGGTTTCATATTATTTCTATTGACAACTCATTCTTATACGTGGAACAAGACATTGAAATAAAACCTTCTGCCAAGTTGTCTGACAAGAAAGGTTGCAATGGAATTTTCTATGTCGGATACCAATATGCTCCAGAAGTTTTCATGGGATATAAGATATATTCTAACTCTGACTTAGTTCAAACAGTAACATGGGCAAACTATGAATGGTTCGCTTTGAGAAACTCAGTACAACCACAAGCTAGAGAACAAACAGACCAGTATGCAACTATTGAGAAAATAAGAAGACTTGACCCTAACGTTCCAGGAGTTTATGTTGACCTTTCTGGACAAACTGCAGCAGCAGTAACCAAAGTAAAACTGAAACTTAGAGTTCCTTTGTCATCTTTCCTCATCTTCAGGTTTTTAAGATACTTGCCAAACTGGGCAGGAAAAATTTCTATCGAACTTACTCCAAGCAAAAATAACTTAGTCATTGCACCAACACAAGACCCATTCACTCTTACAGAAGTAGTGGGAACAAATAAAATGTCATTCGCCGACTTTTGCAAAAACAAAGTTGACTTAGACTTTGGTTTCTCAAACCTCAACACTGAAGTAAACTATTATTTCAATGCTGCTGGAGATGCTTGGGACCCAGTTAAGTTCACATGCGAAAAGTTTGAATGCAAGAGAATAGAAAGCAGACTTGCAGTCTATATGTTGGACCCAGATATTTCAAATGCTTTAGCTGCCAAATATATTGCAGTTCCACTTATGTTCCCTATACACCAAATATCTGTCAAAGACTTTGCAGGTGAAGTTGGAAACCAAAGTGCTGACCCAGGTGCAAGAACAGATATTGCTTTAACAACTGCAATGAAACATGCAGATACTATGTTTGTACTGTTCAGACGAACTATAAATGACTATTCTTGCTTCTACAACCCTGGTATTAAATATCATATAAACATAGATGGCAAATATTATCCAAGAGAAGAATATTCTACAGTTGAGGATATGAGGTCATACAACTTGACATTAGATGCTATGAACTTTAACAACAACTTCACAACAACCATTAACCCTGAAATGCAAAGTTCTATTATGCCATATGTGAAAGTATGGACCCATACAGGAAGTCAAAAAACTCAATATACAAATGGAGACCGTTCAAACTTTTGGCTTGGCATTCCATTTGCTGACTCAGAAGACTTTATGGGTGGTATTTCAACTGTTGGTACAGTTCAAATACAATATACTGGTGACAGAGACGGTCCAGATGAACTGAGAGCAAAGAAGTTTACAAAACCAATAGCACTTTTCACGGAAGATGCTCTTTTGAAAATTCGTTCGATGAAACCTGCTGGAGCTCCTCAGATTGGCATAACGACAGCTTCCATCGAGCAGATTTTGGCAGCAGGTCAGTAAGTTGTTCTTGAACTGACTTCTCTCCGTCAAATATTGACAGTACGCCAGTTTTGACATAAAATTGTATTATAAACTTACCTTTAGAAATATCTGTAAGTTTTGTTGTTATATTTTTGTCTGCTTCAAGAACTTTCACCATTTCAGTTATACCAACTTTCTTTGCTTTATGAAAATATTTTGGTTCAGCAAAGACTGCTATTCTATAACATTTTCCATTGTTTGTATAAAGAACTATTCTGTCAATGAACTTGTATTGTTTGTGTGTGTAAACTTTGTTTTGCTTCAATTCGAAGAGATACTCAAATACGTCCATCTTTTTATTCTAAGTAAAATGTCATTTCCGAAAAATAGAAGCGTAAGTGTTTCAAAAGGTTTAATGGCGGTGGCAGATGTGAAGTTAAATTCACCAACTCAAACAAACAGTCAAAGTGTTGTTGTCAATGTCAAAGAAAGAGATGTTGAAGTGGGGAAACCATACGAAGACGAAGATGGTATAACAATTGTTCCTGTAAAAGAACAACCAACATATCCTGAAGTTAGCAGAGACTTAAGTTCTGTTGCAGATATTCGAAACGACTACCAACAACTTAAAGACAAACTTAAAACTCAGGAGAAGATTTGTCAGGCTTTGGGTATAATGTTAAACTTGGTTGAGCACAACCCTGTAAAAGTGAACTCTTATGTCATCGCACCTCATGAAATTTTGAAAGAACTATTGAAACTTTTGACAGAGGCAGACGATATAAACATCAAAGAAATAGAACCTGACATTGCTTGCTGTGGTGTTTCATACAATGTCATTGACAAGATATACGTTATGAAAGGAGGTGAAACGTTGAACTTAAAATATAGTTTCCCAGACGTCATAAAAATATTTGACGACCACAACATTTCATTAAAGTTTGTTTGCTAAGTAAAAATGGCAGAAGACATAGTGGTTTATACTATTACGACTAAAAACCCTGAGTCATATAATTCTATAACAACAAACTTACAAAGTCCTCAAGGACGATATTGTAAACTGACCTTAAACACGATGACGACTAAAGCCTGTTTTGCTCTTTTGACACCAGAAGACTTTGTTGTTGTGAATGGTAAAAAATACTCCTTTGAAGATACTTACTCAGATATACCACCAACAGGTTTTGTTGACTTATTTAATACTTTAAGGACGGATGTAACATGTGCTGCAACTAGAGCAGGTTTCATTATGTTTGGATGTCCGACTGAGTTTAGTATAAACGATATGAGCTATAATACAAAACTTATATCTGGTTTTTACTACCAACAGTTTCCTATAACAGGAAAAGGTGTCATACAAGGTTTGTCTGTTCCATTGACTTTAAGTACACCTATTTTATATATTGTTTCAAACTTAGGTTCAAAGTGCTATTCGAATGTCGACAGAAACTACTATGACCAAAAGATACTCATGCGTATAAACAACACTTTCTCTGCTGGTTTGCCTATTGTTCATTCGAATGCAGAGTTTTCAGCTTTAGTAAACTCAAACACTTTGGCAAACATAAACTTAACGTTAGTTGACGCAAACTTTGTTCCTGTAAAACTTTTATGTCCTATGTATTTGTCAATGACGGCAGAAAGTTTCGAATTGGAAGATGCAACTGGTGAAAGTATTGTATTACAAGAACAACTTCAACAACAAATAGCTCAAGAACAACAAATGCAACAAATGGAACAAATGCAACAACAAAGTCAAGAACAACAAAGTCAAGAATAAAAAAAATATTTTTTTATTTTTATAAAAATGTACAGAATAGACGTTTCAGATTTTTATGACTTCCAAGCGTTCAGAAATATGTGTCCATTTAGAGACTATAACAAAGCAGTCGAGAATTTGAAACGTTTAGTCATTTATGTCGACTCTGCCCCAGAATGTTATGTCATGAAAGAATGGGATGTTGTCTTTAACAAACCAAGAGCAACCATAGTTTCAGAACAAGAATGTAGACAGAAACTTAAGAAAATAAAAGTCGTACAAGTTGGTATGAAGATGTTAGATGCTTGGGATATCTTATTGTCAAAGTTAGAAGATTTTTCAGTTCGTGGTATAAAGTTCTATACACCATCTCCAAACTTCTATTCTATCTTCACTGGATATAAATACGAACAAGTAGAATGGAAAGAAAATGTTATAGAAGCTTGGTTAGACCATGTCAAAGAAATTATATGCAATGGAAACGAAAGAGTCTATGAGTATATCTTATGTTGGTTTGCAAACATCTTACAACATCCAAGTGCTAAAAATGAAACTGCTCTCATTATAATTGGAAAACAAGGAACTGGTAAGAACACTTTCTTTACAGATATTTTGTGCAAACTGTTAGAGGGCTATTCGAACCCTAATATGACAAACTTAGAAAACATCTGCGGTAAATTTAACTCTTCAATAGAGAATATGAAACTTATAGTATGTAACGAACTTCAAAGTATAGATACAACAAAGGTTTTAAACTCAGATGCTTTGAAGAGTCTTATAACAGACAAAGTTGGAGTTGTTGAAAGAAAATATAAAGACCAAAGAGTTTGTGAAAATGTTGCAAATTTCATCATGGTTTCAAACAACGCCGTTCCGATGAAGTTAGAAAGTTCTGACAGAAGATATGTAGTTGTCAGAACGTCAGATTCTCATATGCAAGATACAGAATATTTTGACGACTTAGCAGAAACTTTGACATCTGACTTTTACAACCACTTGTTCTCATATTTCATGACATTAGATATTTCTAAGTTCAATCCAAGACAAATTCCACATACCGAAGAAAGGCAAACATTGTTAGAAGCAAACAAGAGTGTATATGAACTGTTCATAGATGAGACTAACTTTGTGTCATTAGATGAAAGGTCATTGTACGATTCGTATAAACAATATTGTCAAGAGTATGGTTATATGGCAGCTTCTAAACGTACATTCTTGGCAAATGTCAAAAGTCTTTTAGATGTTCAGAACGGCGTATATACAAAGAAAAATTTTTATGAGTAAATTTTAAAAAAAATATTTTTTTATCCGATAGAAAAGATGATGAAATTCATCTCAGTCAACAAGTACATGACAGAAGTCAAAGAAGAACTAGACCCATTCGCTTATTTGAATGTTTACTTCTACCATTTTGAAAAGTCTACATTTGACAAAGTTTGGAACATCGAACCGGTTAAGTTTGCTATTGTGACTAAAAATGGTGCGAAATTTGAAGACTTAGACATAGAAGGTTTGTTAGCAGTCAAAGAAAATTTTGACAGAAGGTTCTCAAACCTTAAAGAAGGCAAAGCATACAAACTTGTTATACCTTATGAACCAAAGAAAGCAGACGACTATGAATATTATGAGTCTAAAGTTGTAGAAGTTCAAGGTAAATTGGGTAAAAGATTTTAGAGTCTAAGCCAGTGTTTGCTCCTAAAGAGGAAGAGAACATTGACATTGACCCAGAAATGTTCTAAAAATAAAATTTTATTTTACATGTCAAATTTCTTTTTCTCTGGCTCTGGCTCTGGCTCTTTCTTCTCTTCTTCTACTTTCTTTTCTTTCTTCTCTCTCTTCTTCTTCTTCTCTGGTGGAGTTATGTCAAACTTCTCAGAACCATATTTTTGTAAAAGGTCTTTGTCCTTTAATAGCTCTTCTATTCTGTTTTCTATTTCATCTTCAAGAACAGCGCATGTGTCTTCTTTGCATTCTAAGAACTTTTGTTGGACTTCATCTTTCCAATCGGCGTCATCTCTGTCAACAAGTCTGTCATTGACAAATTTTAAGACTGCTCTGCTTAATGTTTTATGGTTCTTGTCATATTCCCAGAAACAGAACTTTAGAACAAATTCACCTTTCTTGTTTACACTATGTAAGATTTTATGGTCGACAGATGTTTTGCTGTCGAAAAGCTTGTCTCGAATATAGATAGCGAAATCGCTAGACATTTTCAAAAAGATAAAAATTTTAATTTTTCTAAAAATATGTTAGAAAAAAAGTTTGCTGACATTGACAAGAAATTTGAGAATGTTTTAAACAAGAACAAGAGGAAGTTAGAAAATGCTCAGATAAAACCCATACATGACAAGTTCCTATTTGCTCAGAATGGTATAACAGGTCTAATCGCACCACCTGGGTCGGGCAAGACTTTCACTTATCTTAAAATGGCTGCACAACAACAAGAACTAGATGAGAAGAACCCATTCTATGAGTTAGTAGTCATTTGTAGTACTTCTGGTCAATTTGACCAAACCGTAAATTCGTTCAAAGATATTATAAAAAAGTCTAAGTTAGTATGTATAAAAGACTCTGAGTTGTTGGATTGGATAAAGAAGTACCAAAGAAGAGTTTTGAAGTACAATGCTATAAATGAGTATGTCAATTCGAGGTTTAAAGACCCAAATGAGGAAATGCAGAGAATATTAGAGAAGAAACACTTCAGAAACAAACAGAAAGAGATAGAATACATTTCGAAGAAATTGCAATCTTACGATTGGAAGACTTACCCTCACAGATGTCTTCTTATCTTAGATGACTTTGCTTCTCATCCTTTGTTAAAGAACAGAGAACAAGATATGTGTCGAATTCTTAAGAAGCTCAGACACTTTAACATCTCAGTTGTCATTTGTGTACAGACAGCCAAGAGTTTAAGTAAGGATGTAAAGAGAATACTTACTGATATCATACTTTTCCCCGGATTGTCCGAAGACGATTTCATGGAACTTATGAAAGAGTCCATGGCAGGTAAGTTTGACAGACATGAACTATGGGAGAAGTACAAAGTCATACAAGACCCTCATACTTCTTTCAGAATTCACATCTACGCGAACAAAGTTCAAATTGTAAAAAGTCAAGCGTAAAAATGTAAGTGTTTGAGTCTTAGTCTGTTGTGGTTCTGCAGCTTTCGGTTCTTCTGGCTTTGGAAGACATTCAGGAAGAGGAATGTCAGTCATCCGTTTGTGTCCTGTCGGAAGGAAGGACTTTTCCTGTTGGAAAGAAAAACTTTTCCTGTCGGAAAGAAAATTTTTTCCTGTTGGAAGGAAAAACTTTTTCTGAAGTTCGACCAAAAAGTTCTCAATTTTCGAAAATTTGAATGGTTTACGGACGGACAACAGAAAAAATTTTTCCTGTTGTCAAGAAATTTTTTTCCTGTCGGAAGGAAAAACTTTTTCTGTCGGAAGGAAGGACTCGGAATGCCAGAAGGAAGGACTCGGAATGTCGGAAGGAAGGACTCGGAATGCCAGAAGGAAGGACTCGGAATGTCGGAAGGAAGGACTCGGAATGCCAGAAGGATTTGACAAGACAATTTACCTTATAGAGCTACCTGAGCCATCTTTGGTGTCAAGCTTGAAAAATAAACGCTTTACATGTATTTTTCAGCAACTTCGTCAAATAATTTTATAGCACTATCTATCTCATCTACTTCAAACGTTTCTTTACCTTTCGTGGGAGCACCATACATTTTCTCAAACTTTTCAAGTAGTTCTGTTTCAGCAGCTCTCATATCATTTACAAACACAACCTTAACTCTATTGACTGTACTGTCATATCTTTTAGTTATATTATATGTTCTTCCTATCTTATATCTCTTTGTATTGAAGTCCTTCGGTTTCTGAACGATGTAAAGTAAGCCTTCACTGCAACGTTCCGTATCGAATGAACCATATGTTATGAAATTATATCCAACAACTGGGTCTAACCATAACAAAACTACTGGTATAAGACTTTTGTCGATGAGATATGCTGTAGTTCCATAGAATCTTACCGATATCATAAGCTTAGGATTTCTTGTCAAAATTTTCTGAGTTGAAGCATTTTTAACCCAGTCGTTTGTTTTCTTTCCAGATGGAGATATAATGTCTGACAAAGAATATTTGTTGTATTTCTTTGAGTATCTTACGTTTAAATCACCAATTCTAACCACTTTGGTGTCATTGTCTATCTTTTTAACTGTTTCAAACTCAACCTTTAACATTTTCTGTTCTTACATACAAAATAAAAAAATAAAAAAAATAAAACTAACGTTATTTTTTTATTTTGTATAAAAGATATGATTTCAGGGATTTTTTTTACGAAGTGTTAAAGTTCTCTTCGTCAAAAAATAACAGTTATATAATGAAATTTGGTCATTTTTTCACGATTTTCGTACGGAATCTCGTTCCTCGGTTTTCCGCGGGACGCAAACATATGAGGAAATTCATGATTTTTGGTCATTTTTTTACGATTTCATAGAGTTTTTTTACGAAGTGTTAAAGTTCACTTCGTCAAAAAAATACAGTTATATCATGATTTTTGGTCATTTTTTCACGATTTTCGTACGGAATCTCTATCCTCGGTTTTCCGAGGGTAGCAAACATATGAGGAAATTCATGATTTTTGGTCATTTTTTTACGATTTTCATAGAGTTTTAGGCGACCAGGTCACTCGGTCACTCGGTCACTCGGTTAAATGAACTTCTCTGAAAAATAGTGACAACATGACATTTTGACAACAACACAGGAAATAGACTTCTTCGTAAATGTTTGTCAAGACTTTCATCGTCAATGAGTGTAAAACAGACAAAAATATATTTCTACCATAAAGTTTTACAAGCGTTTTACATGGTATATGTTGTGATGGTTCATGACTTTAAACAGTTTTGTAGCTTCTATTTTCTTCTTTTAGTATGTCAAAAGTTTTAACGATACCGAAAGTTTCTTTATACTTCTTCTTGACGTCAGATAGAAGGAAATCGTTAGCAGTTGGATAGTTTTTGTTCAGAAATGTCAACATGTCCATTTTATTTTTACGATTTTCGTACGGAATCTCTATCCTCGGTTTTTCGAGGGTAGCAATCTTATGCCATTTTACTCAGATTTTTGTGCTGAATTCAGCAAAAATAATGTTTAGGGTAGAAGGTTAGATCTAACCTGTCTTCTACCCTCTTTTCTACCCCAGTTATTTTATAAGCGTTTTACATGGTAAACGTTATTTTTACATGTATTTTTCAGCAACTTCGTCAAATAATTTTATAGCTTTATCTATCTCATCTACTTCAAACGTTTCTTTACCTTTTATGGGAGCACCATACATTTTCTCAAACTTTTCAAGTAGTTCTGTTTCTGCAGCTCTCATATCATTAACTAACACAACCTTGACTATATTGACTGTACTGTCATATCTTAGAGTTATATTATATGTCCTTCCTATCTTATATCTCTTTGTATTGAAGTCCTTCGGTTTCTGAACGATGTAAAGTAAGCCTTCACTGCAACGTTCCGTATCGAATGAACCATATGTTATGAAGTTATATCCAACAACTGGGTCTAACCATAACAAAACTATTGGTATAAGACTTTTGTCGATGAGATATGCTGCAGTTCCATAGAATTTTACCGATATCATAAGCTCAGGATTTCTTGTCAAAATTTTCTGAGTAGAAGCAATTTTAACCCAGTGGTTTGTTTTTTTTCCAAATGGAGATAAAATGTCTGACAAAGAATATTTGTTGTATTTCTTTGAGTATCTTACGTTTAAATCACCTATTCTAACCACTTTGGTGTCATTGTCTATCTTTCCAACTGTTTCAAACTCATTGTTTGTCATTTCTTTCTTTAAATCTGCATAGTCGTTTCTCATTCTTTCTATCTCTTTGACGGAGTAGTTATATTTCCTCATTGCCGCTTTACATTTAGAACATTGTGGGTTCATTTTTGCGTTATACATTGAAACCTTACCTGCTAAAACAACCAAGGCGTCAATGGTTTTCTTTAACTCAAAAGTTGCTGGTTTTATCTGTTCATTCCATACCTTACCTCTTCTATCTTTATCTCTTATCTGCCATACACATTCAGCAACTAACGAAACAAAGTTGTCGTAGGTCTTAAATTCTTCAGATTTATATATGTCAGAAACATTCTTATATACCATGTCGCAATCTTTGTCCATGACTTTGTGGTTGCAATGAAATCCAAGAAACTCATAGTTAACCTTTCGTATGAACTTCTTTATTTCTACTGAGTCAGTTGCTTTGACTTCAATTTCGTCGAATTCAGGAATAGTGAGCTTTTGTTGTTGGATTTCAGGCAATTTGGGTAAATGGTCAATAATGTCCTGCATTTCATAAAGATACTGTTCATTTGTTTCATCTTTCGCACTACAGTCTAAATTATTTGTTAAAAGTTCTTGCTTTATCTTCTGGATTTCTGTTTCGAAAGTATATGAAGAAGGAATGAAGCTTTTCATTTCTACTAACATTGAAGTTGGGTTCATGACTAACGAGTTTGGTGCTGTTGTTGCTAACATGTTCTTACAATAAAAATAAAAAATATTTTTTTAAAAAAACTAACTTTATTTTTTATTTCGGGAAAACTCATGAAAATTCAAGAGGGTAGAAAACATTTACGATGAAATCATGACAAAACATTTACGATGAAATTCATGACAAAACATTTACGATGAAATCATGACAAAACATTTACGATGAAATCATGAAAATTCATGAAAATTCAAGAGGGTAGAAAAGAGGTTAGAGAACAGGTTAGATCTAACCTTCTACCCTAAATTATATTTTTGCCGAAAAAAAAATGGTTCATTTACTCACAATATTTTTGTACAAAACAACCCCAAGCTTTTAACTTCTTTTCTGCAGCTTCTAATGCTATCTTAGCGAGTTCATATTCTCTAAATTCTCTCTTTAAATCTTCTTGTTCCCATTGGTCTAGTTCGTATGGAGAATCTCTATAACCAGAACATATCTCACGTTCATGTTCTATTTGTTTTTCGCACATTTTTCTAACTTCTTGTTCGAACAAAGGTTTTGCATTCTCTACTGTATCTTCAAGTTCTTCTTCATCTAATTTCTCATGAACTTTCTTGTCTATGGAGTCCAGAATTTTTCCAACTGCTATACAATATTTTGGAGAAGCCCACATTGCTATATAGTTTACAAGTCTTGGGTCTACATACG